AATATAGCTGCAAGCAGCAATTAAGGGGCCAAGCACTCCAAAGGCAAAATGCGGAGCTAAGCTTGGCATGGAGCATCAGGCCAACTGCAAAAATGAGTAATTAGAGCAAGTTTAGGATGATTTGAAGCAAAATGGCTGAAAAATCAAAAACAACTTGTAATATGATTTAATGGCTTATCACTTTTGACCATTTGACTGTTATCAAATTGATGTGGTGTGTTCTGTGTGAGGTAACAATGGCAAACAGAAAGTTTGGTGTCAATATGTCAAAGCTTTGCAGAGATACAGCCTCAGACATAATCTGGCATTATGCCTCAAACTTGTTGTGGCGCTATACAAAAACGGTTTTGTCTATCAACACGAAATCTTAACTTTTTGTCAGCACTGTCTGATGATGATCTGATTCGATTTTGGTGAAAATCGGACTACCGGTCGAGGAGGAGTTCGAAAAAGTAGGTTTTCAACATAAATCAAAATGGCAGACAGGAAGTTCGGCCCACAATGGCATAATTGGTATCTATGTTGTCGGCATGACCCAAGGAATATTTTGAGACCAGTTTCATTATAATAGGCTAATGCAATCAAAAATGATTAGCATTTTTGAAAATTCCATAATTAATTGTTAATGAATGGTTTATCACTCGTGACCAATAGGTGGCGCTGTTACCAAATTGATGTGGCGTGGTCAGTGTGAAAACAATGGCAAAGTTTGGTGTAAATATGTCAAAGCTTTGCAGAGATGCAGCCTCAGATGCAGTTTGGCATCTTTCCAGCAAATTCGTTGATACACTAAATGAAAACCGTTTCGTATATTGACACGAAATCCATAACTTTTTGCCAGCTTGGTCTGAAGATGATCCGAGTCAAATTTTGGTGAAAATCAGACTAACTAGGAGTAGTTCGAAAAAGTAGGTTTTCAACATGAATTAAAATGGCGGACAGTAAGTTCAGCCAATTTTTGCATAATTGGTATGATGTTCTCTGCATGACCCAAAGAAAATATTGAGACCAGTTTTATTACAATAACCCAATTTATTCAAACGTTATTAGCATTTTTGTAAATTTCTTTATAACGTTTGGCCACAAGGTGGCGCTGCCACCAAACTTTTTGAGTACCATAAGGGCATGGTGCCGAAGACACATACCGAGTTTCATAACGATACATTAATGCATTCGTAAAATATAGCATTTTATGGTTCGACTCAACATGATCCACTGAATCTAAAGAGACCAGTTTTGTGATTTTTGGCCAAACCATTCAGAAGTTATAAGCAAAAATAGCCATTTTTCATATCTCCTGACCACTAGGTGGCACTGCGCCGAAACACTACTGGTAGCCTCATGTCATGCTTGTTATAACACACACCAAGTTTGGGCTCAGTACGCCAAACCGTTGCAGAGATATAGCCTCCAGTGTTTCCCCTGCCATTATATTAAAGGGATCCTATTATGCTTTTTCACTTTTTCAACTTTAGTTAGTCTGTAATGTTGCTGTTTGAGCATAAAAAAGATCTGCAAAGTTACAAAGCTCAAAGTCCAATTCAAAAGATGATATTTTATTTAACAGAAATCACTTTTCAAAAACTACAACGAAC